GCATCTTCCTAGTTGGCATTAGTTAGTTGAAAACCCTTGTACATGTTCTAGTATTCCTATGCCATACGGCGGCCATCTTGGATTTTTCAATAAGTCCAAGGACACTAGTTTGTTATCTGACAAATATGCATAATATGGGTAATAAGGATGTGGAAAACATTGAGAAAATACTTAATTTGATAAAAATCAACATAGATATGTATATATTTCTACAAAATTTCACAAATTGGCGGCCATTTTGGATTTTTTGGCCAAACGGTAAATTTTTTCCGTGGGCTACGGCTCTAATTTGATTTAGTATGTCAAAAGGTACCCACATGCAAAATTTGGTGCTTTTATCCGCTGTGTCACGATTTAGCCATTTTTTTGCCCTAAGCAACCGGACTATAAGGGGGTACAAGGAACATGACAACATAACACATCAAGTAGGACAGTCATGAGTTCTATTCGGTCTATTGCAGGCTTTCGTGCTAAAATCAATATGTACGTGTAATTTTTCTGGAATAATTTTGAGTATTTAAACAACAAGTGGACTTCAGTTGCATCTACATGTAGTTTGGCCATGGACATTTGTGAACAGTTTGAACAGCCACAGCCTCTCACCTACAATGAGCCATACCTTGTTTGCATAACAAGAAGTTTCTCATCGTACTGCGAGCTGTCTTCAGTAGAATACTCACTTGGCGATTGGGCACTGTTGGGTACAGTACTTTGTGTGCTGCAGTCGCAAGTTCGAACTTTTTTAAGGCGTAGAAGCAAATGCATGAAATGTATGCTTTGTAAGTATCACTACTTCTTCGATAACCGACGTCAATGAATAAGCTATTAAAGGCCCAGACGAATGAAAGAAAATTTACGTCAAATATTTATAACATTTAATATTATTTTACTATTTTGCCTATCGTTACTTTTATGTCGCTCAGAATATTAGAATATGTAGGTTTTGATAAAGTTTTACAATGCTTTTGGACTGCAATCTTACAGAAGAAACGATTGTTAACTGATCTTTGATTAAAGCCTATTGTATGTTTGCTTTAAAAAATTATCTCGGCCCTTTTCTTTAAGTTTTGTATGAACATTTTTGTATGGCCCTGGGCAATTAAAAATGCATGTGAGACTAAATTTAAAAATATTGTTTTTATGTAAATGTAAGCATTACAAAAAAGAAGAGTTACTAATTTAGATAATTATACTTGTCACAGTTCTGAGCTTCTGATCCAAGGGAACTGGAAGTGTGTCCTATCATCAATTTTATGGTCAAATCCTATGGTCAACTTTAATCAACGATTCAAACATAGGCCTATTGACGTCTTGATGATTATAATTTTAATTTTAAGTAAAACTTGAAATCCTTTAAACTAAATAATCTTTTTGTTAATTTGGTCTTTTTTACGTTTCATTCCTTTTTAGCGGTTTTAAATTCAGTCTGAAAATTCTAATTGTTATAATGTTATACATATTGTTATGTATGTAAATATTGTTTCTAAGCAGCACTGAGACCTTTGAGTAGCACGATTTTGAATAATAAAATATTTTCATGAATATTACTCTTATTATACAGGAAAAAGGGCACATAATACCGGTAGCTATAACAGTTCACATATTTGTTTCAGAGGATAGTTGGACAATCCATTTTTGCATAAGACTCTCAAAGATCTTTTTATAGGGTAAGTATGGTTTATTAAATACATGTACAACACATGCACAGGCGCACATCAATTGCTCATTTCATTAAGATTCATAGATAAATATTTTACACCTGCTGTCTGTTGTCTCCAGTGTGTTGTACCTGTATGTCATTCATCCTTTAATCAATCAGCTACATTAAAACTCGATTGTTCTTACACCCAAATTATGTGCAATATGTTTAATGTATTCTTTAAAGAAAGTTTGTGAATAAGCATTTTTTGTGCTTCTCCGAAATACGTCAAAATGATGTACAAAACAGCGTTACTCCCCCAAACGTGTGATGTATAAAATTCTATTGTTTAGTGCCATACATAGTAATAACTTCTGCAAATGAAAGAGGTTGTGTTTACAAATACTTTTTAAGCAATATATCTCAAGTACCTTTAAGCTTATTCCAGATCATAATTTTTGCCCTCGATTTCAGCCTTCAATTTTTGGTGCTAGCTAAGCCTGAACTTTATACACACACACACACACAAAGAAAGAAACAAGCACGTCATATCAGTTATAAGTTCCCCTCTCCTCTGTGATATCACATGCATTTGTGTTATTTCAAAAACCTGCCTGTTATTAAAAACCTTTTATTAAAAAAATTGTCATAAATAGTAAACAATCTTTTCTTTTTCATTTCAGAAGCCCACCAAGATACCGCAAGCAAGCAATGTAGTCTTTGTTTCACATTCAGGAGTCCTTCACTCAATCATGCATCTATTATATTTAAACTGAATAAACATTTTTTGTGATTCTGTCTCACTTTCAAATTCAATCTGCTAAATCTGATCTGTAAAAGCTTTGCAGATAGGCCCAATATTTCGTAAATTATGGAAGTTCAGCAATTCAGATGTCTTAAACGAATGAAAGAAAAGATCTGAAACATTTTCCAACAATACATATTTATAAATTCAATTTATATTTTCAAGTCCTGCTTTTTTGTTCTGAATTTTGTTCTGTAGCAAGTTTTCATATCCTCTGGAGAAAAGATGTTCCTTCTTTAAGACATTTTCCTCAGTGTCCTTAATAACGATAGTAAAGGTCCTTCTTTGACAGGTCCTGGCTTTTGCAATGCCTTACTCTTCATAATTTAAAATTTAAACAAAGTGGAAAAATTCTATACTGGAATTAACTCGCCCCACCTGTCATCCCTCAAACTGGGTGCACTTTCTCCACCTGGCACCCCTCAAACTAAATGCACTCTTCCCACCTGTCACCCGTCAAACAGAATTGATTAACTGCACCTGACACCCCTAAAGCTGAGTGGACTCTCCCCACTTGTCATCCCTCAAATGGAATGGACTTTCCCCACCCATCACCCCTCAGATGAAATAAACTCACCCCAATCATCACCCCTATTCTGTAGTAGACTCACCCCAGCTGTCACCCCTCAAATATAGTGGACTTTCCCCACCTGTCACCCCTTTATGGAATCAACTCTCCCCACCTGTCACCCCTCAAATGAAGTGGTCTCTCCCAACCTGTCACCCCTCACATTGCATGAACTTGCCCCACCTGTCTTCCCTCAAATGGAGTGGGTACCCCCTACCTGACACCCCTTCAATAGAATGAACCTCCCCTTTTGTACCCTTAAAGTAGAGTGGACTCTACTCTACCTGTTACCTGCTAAATGGAGTAAAGCTTTCCTTTCTGACACATCCTAAAATTGAGTGGACTTGCCCCACCTTTCATGTTGGTAGAATGGGATTGAGAACAAATCTAACAAATACGCAATGACATGCAGAATGAATTTTATTAGCCTTACAATTTATTGAGAATGAGAATTGTCTATTTTACAAGAACAAAATTTTAAACCTAAAACTCATTTATGTTATGCTGCAAACAGCATTTAGTATAAAGCAAATTTAAAGAAACTAAAGGAGGAAAGCACCAAGAAGATGAAATCCAACCAGGCTGGTTTTCAAACGAACTATATACAGTAAACAATGACAATTAATGTACAATTTTTTTTTAAATTTTGATGTGATATTACAAAAAGTAACATTAACAGCACAATTACCTTTGCTTTATGATATACTACTGTTACAACGAACTTAACATAGTATAACTGTTTTGTCATTAACACTTAGTATATGTCATTTTAATAAATGATGAAAAACACATCTGATTAGCATATACAATAGCAGTTTTACTTGTCTGGAAACTGACTAATCCACATCATCAGATAACCAAAATACATACATGGACCCATATAAGGTTCCCATACGATATTAAATTCCATTACAATTAAGCAATGTGGCACCACCAATTAGTTACCTTCTATCAGGGTCATGGGGACAATTTTTCTTCCACTAGATATCCATATTTCTCAGGTTGTTCACTAGCTGTGCACATTTCTGTTCTGTCCAGCGTTGATATTTGCACAAAAACTACACCATCAACCACCTGACCTCTGTCTAAGAGAAAACAGCAGGTGGACTATTTGAGTTCTAAGTAGTCCAGAGCTCAATTATGGCAGTCAAATATAATTATATACTCAAGTCACTCAAAAGCTCCATATATGATGTTGATTCATTTCTTCTTGTAATTCTGGTCAATGAACTACCTGTTGGAGCTGATGCCATTTTACATCTCTTGCTTCGCTTCTTTCTGTTGCTAGCTCTCTGTGTATCACATGATTTATTTGCTAATGGTTTTGTCATATCAACAAGGTTATATACAGTTTTTTGTTTGCCTTTCTGTGCCATTGACATTGACTGAGAGGGAGAAGGCAGATGTTTGGTATCTTGTTGAACATTTTGTGGATTGCACCCCACCAGAGAGGATTTATCACAAGCCATGATGGAATCTAAACTTACTTGACTGGTCAAAAGGGAAATGCTTTCAGCTTGTTGATTTGGCTCTGTGATTGGGGGTAATGCCATGATAGATTTATTTCTTTTTGTTCTCTGCTTCTTTTTTGCTGATTCTGCCATCTCATCGAGCCTTATTTTTCTAGCTTGTAAGCGCACACAGACATTGAGATATCTGCAAGCAAAATAGGTACTACATCAAGTAAATAGCATACAAAATTTTTAGAAATTTTTTTGAGAATTACCCAATTTTAATCAAGTGCCAGGAGGTTGCAACTTTAAAACTTTTATTAATATGGCCCAATTTTATATTGTTTATACTTCATCTACTATGTAAAATTCTAATATTCACAAAATATCATAAAAGGTATAAAACAATAAGTGTTTTTTATATATGTTCAGCATACAGTACATTTTTGTACCACAAATAGACAAATCGTGGTTTGCTTCTTTTCATATTTGACCAGCAAGAGTTCCAGCTATTACTAGAAACTAACTTCTATTATTAGCAGGCATTTGGATAATATAATCATCATCGTCCTTCACCCTTGGGTGGAATGGGAGCAGCAGCAGCAACATGTTTAGACCAGAGTTGCTTCTAATATAGTCTAGTTTCCATTAATCTCCAAAATTTGGGGTGTATTACAAATGTATGACTGACCTGAAGTTGATCCGTCCTTTATGTCCTTCCTCCATTTTGTCAGCCAACTGATGCATTTCCCATTCCTCAAGAGGAACATGAACTTTCTGATGAGAATGTGAAGGAAATCAATAAAATTATAGTACTGTATATACTGCCAATAAGTATGAACTTTTGCATATGAAAATCTGTATGTCTATTCAAACAGATTGTCTTAAAGAAATAATTTTTTTTTTCGAATTTACAACAGAGTCTTTAGTAATAAAAATTATGCAGTTGCAGCCATTCAACAATATTAAAAAGACTGACTTTTCTAAAAAGCTGTAATATTGTAATTTACCCTTAGTCCATGAATAAAACTGGCCCGTGAAATCCGCTGTTCACTGTCCTTGTTAAAAGTGCGAAACAGATCCATCACACGAATGCCTCTCCTTCCCAAGTATCTGGTCAGTATGCTTAGGGGGTCTTCTTTGCTCTCTGTAATGGTCCAATAGAAATTTGATAAAACAATGAAGAAAGGAAAACACATCAAAATTTATTTGCCTGAGGAAAAATCAAACAACTGTGAAAATTTCCACTGTTCCAAATTAACAGGCAATTTAACAAGTGGTGTTTTTACTAGTCTGATATAAAATATGCTAGTGAATTGCTTCAGACCAATGATTAATATTATGAATTGGATGAAAGTAAAGAGATACATGGGTTGATACATCTATACAGTAAATCGAACCCTCTATCCCTTCTCAGTGGAAAATTCTTTATCAAGAATGTCTATAAATGAGATAAAGTCATCTGATTAAACATTTAATAAAATGAATAGAAATATAAGGGAAACCTGCACCCACTTCTTTTAACACTAATCATGTCATCAGAATTGAAGAGTCCTCCATGTGTGAAAGTGAAAGTTCTCGTCTTTTGTATTCTTTTCACATTGTTAATAATATCAGTGTTTACTGGAACAGCCTGAGAGGATAATGAGAGAAATACATCATAAGTATCCCTTTAAGACACATTTTATTGTTAAAATGATAAAAATCACAATGTTACCAGATGAGTGTCAAAGTAAAGTTTTACATGTACCAGATTACAGTTTTGGGATATTTCTCAGTCTGCAGGCTGGAAGACAGCTGTGCCTTGTAATATATTCCAAAAATAAACTGGAACAGGCAATAATTAGTACATGTAATACCAAGTGTGCAAACATAAAGTCAACACCTTTACATCATATCATACCTCTAATCCCAAATGCTCCAAACGGTTGGTTTTAACTCCTGCAGCCTTGAGCAGTCCCATGACTCCGTCCTTGGTCAGAGGATTCTGTCCAATCTAGACATCGTCAAAAAATAAAGCACTGGTTTACATGTTTTTGCATACGATATATATTTTGAACCTTTTTACAAATCACCAGAATGAAAAGTAAAATGGAGTTGTTGAATCTAAATTTCAATTGTTGATTTTCATAATTATATAATGCAATTTATAAGGCAATGAAAACAGCTCAATAGTGTGCATGTCATACATGTATGTCAACTAGTACGTTACTTATTGTGAACAAGACTGTATTATTGTTAACAAAGAAAAAAATATATAGTGGATACCAGAAGTTTTTTTAAACAGCTGTTTAAACAGATCCCTTTTGCAATGGGTGGAACACAGGTCCAATCAATCCTGTTCCCAGCAAGATTTAGGAACTCAAGATGCACGTCTCCCTTTAGCATGTCACAGACAGCAATACTGCCTTCAAATCCAAACCCATTCCAAGATACATCGAGGTATTTCAGCGTGTGGCATTCCTGTAATATGACAAAACTGGAATTCAGAAAGCTTCTACCATTTCATAAATTCATGAGGGCAAATGTTTCTCTAACACTAGCAATTATGGTATAAAAAAGTTAATCTAAATTAAAGCCTGAAATACGTCGAACTTCATGATTGGAAACTCTACTAATTTCATTAATAAGTAAGGTGAAAATCATGGTGCGCAGTAATGACGACTTTGCTTTGAAACATCCAACAATCATTAATGTGTGATTTACAGATTTATCATGTCAAATAATGTCTATTTAACAATATCAAATCAATGCAGTTACAGCACTGTGATATCTTGTCATAATCACTGCTTTCTGTATTCTAGTATAATAATAATAGGAACTTCAGATAATTCCCCTTCTGATTACTTTCAGTTTACTGAAACAGCAACTTTTATCAAATCTCACCTTAGCTCCCTTGCATATAGCCACTGCTCCTTTCTTTCTGATACAATTAAATGACAACTCCAGGTGCTGAAGTCTTCTGTGTTGTTCTGTAACAATAAAGATTGGAAACCACACATTAAAACAGACAATTAACTTCAAGAGTGATGCTAATATTAAAAAAAAAGATTTATCTTTTACCCAATTTCTTAGCTACGAAATATAATACAAAAGGCACAACTGCTCGATGTCTCCTCCATTCAGGAAAAAATAAAAAGACAAGAGTGAATATAAAATTTGATACCAATAGCTTTTCCAAGGACTTGGGCAGCTTCCTCAACTAACTGGCAACCATTCATGCACAAGGTCAATAGGGAGCCCTCCTGAAGTAGATGAACATGCTGTAATTTATCTCAAACTAAGATTGTATCAAACTTTTACTAAAATGGACTATCATTAGGAAATGTATCACATTTTCATTAAGCAGCACCTCCAAAATGAAAAAAATAGACATGCATACATGGAGACAAATAGACATAATAATTATATACGTATCATTCTGATTTACCTGAATTCCTTCACATAAAGACTTGACATCAAATATTTCCATTTTATTCCCTAAAAATAAAAATGCACAGGTTTAGAGCAAAAAGGTATCAATAATGAATTAAAGCATTATCAGTTGTAAATACTTTTTGCAAAAACAAAATTTTGACTTGAAGACAATAACTTGCATTTTTCAACTTCAAAAATATAATATTACAGTCCAATCTTCTAAGTTTTTACCTGAGAGATCCAAGTGCCTCAGGGTCATATTCATCCCAAGCATCTGACCTAGTGCAGCAAACCCACTGGCAGTAATGAAATTCTGACTTATATTCTGAAAACAATATTGGAATAATACAAACATATGGCAATCTAAATGTGTATAATTCCCTCTTTTTTCTCAGCGGTTTAAAGATAATAAGAAGAGAGAGAGAGAGAGCTCCGCAATAAAATTTCCCACACATGCTTATAGTCATATGGTGCAATTTTTCATTTGCAAAGTATATGACTGTGTAATGCCCAAGACAATGCTATGTGACAATTTATATTTCTTTGTGCCATACACCCAGAGGGACTTCACAAATGCACCAGCACTGCAGAACAAGGAAGAACAAATACATTCTACCAAGTATAACGGCACAAGTCACACCTAAAATCTTACCAGATATGTGATAGTATCATTTTCTAATAACATCTCAGCAATATGGTTTGCACCTTCTTCCTTGATGCTGTTGTCTTCCAGGTCTAAAACCTCTACATTTGGATTGTCCTAAATAAATGAGAGATATATAAATAAAAGGCACTATATTAAATTGTTTCATGTAACTTTTTGACAGAACATTGAAGTACCTATCATAGTTATTTTCCAGGTAATGAAAATTTGAATTGTTCCTAATTTCAAATACAGGAACATCTCTGAATAACGTCCAAGACTCCTAAGTTATGATGGGGTGAATTTTCAGTACCAGTGAAGATAACTATACCTACCTTTAGAGCTTTGGCAAGAGCTGCAGCTCCCAGAGGTAGAATTCCCCTGTGTCTTATTTTCACCTCTGCTGTACTCAGCATACTAAGTATTGGAGTCATGGCTGCTACTTGCAATTCTTCACAAGACTGAATGTAGATTTTCACATATGGGTCATTGAAATTGATGGAACTTTTATCATGTATATATCCTGAAAAAATTAGATGATTAATTAAAGTCAATGAAACTTTGTTCTTTTTCCTCATAAGTAAACATGAAAATGATTTAATAGCAATACATCAGTGTTCAATATACACATTTTTTTAAAATTAGAGATAATTTTTAGGTTATTTTGGATTCTATGTAACTTCCAGCATCTTTCTCAAATGGACACAGTTCTTTTCTTTTGTTGATACCCTGTTGCAGAATAAACAATTTTCATACTTCTCCATTAGTCACTCACACACATTTTTTAAACTCCTTAATTGTCCAAAATAGTAGATAATTTAAGGTCTATTATTTTAAACATTTAACAAGAACACTTAAATCTTTATATGCTCCCCTGCACTGGGTCTGAAACTTTGGAAGAACAAAACAGTTAAGGGAAGATTTTGCATAATAAAAAGTTATAAGCAGAACCTACCCAACCAATCTGAGTTACTCAGATCTTTGTCATCATCTATATTTTCCACTATGGAATTATCAGAGGTGTCTGACAGTGGTGAAATTGACCGCAGACATGCCATTGTACTCGCAGGTATATTTGCCTTGGTAAAAAACATTACATTTTGAATAAAAAAAAATATTTTTTTTGTTTTACAACTTCATCACTCAAAGACACTATCAAATAAGGCACTGCAGCATAAATTTCCATCATGCTCTACGCAAAATGATATACATCAGAAAATTTTAGCAGCATCAAGAAATACCTTCCAAATGTCATACCAAATGGCTTACTAAAACTTTTTCACAAAGCCTTTCAAAGTTGGGCGGTATAAAAAAGTTAAAATAATCAGAGGAACTTACCTTTACTACCATGTACAATCTGTCTCAGAAATATGTTTCAACAATGACAACTACAGGTAAACAAAAATCCATCAGTAGTCAAGGCATCATTTATTATTAACTTTCAATGCATAAGATATGAAAAATATCTGGTCACTTGACAGTGAAAGCAATTACTGTACTTTGATTGAATTAACATTATTTATTCAAAAGCCCCCAGGTCGTAATCATAGGTGCAAAGTTGTTCATCTGATTCATTATCCTGTATCACATACAGAAAAGTGTGCTTAAGCAACTTTGGTTACTGAATATGATCTCAACTGTGGACCCTACAAGATATCTGTGGTCTCACATCGCCATTGGATGCCAAAACTTGAGTTTAAGAATCAATATCAGGTCTCTGAAACCGAGAACAATATTTGTGGAAGTAGTTCAGAAGTGGATTTAAAATCCTGTCAGTCTCACTGACCTTCACTTTACATACAGTTACATGTAATGATTCGATCTGTTCAATGGGGAAAATAGTGAATTTTACATATACTTTATTTTTCAGTCATTATTCTATACAGTATAAACACCACAAATGCTATACAAAAATATTATTTTTAATGATTCCAAATTTATATATCTAAAAGACTGATGATTTCCCCCCTTGAAAAGATCAGAGTCATTATCATAGCATTCTAACTGTACTCTCTGTAACACTATTTTCTGCATTGAATTTTGCATTGTTTTATTAGCAAGTATCACTTTCTGACAGTTGGCATATCTACTAATCAAAATTAATAATAGTGTTACTCATTAGCAAACAGGTTAAGTAAAATACATTTATGAAAAATACTGTAGTATCTGCAAAAAGAAGTGAAAGTTTCAGAATATACAACATTGCCCCCCTCCCTGCCAAACTGTAACTGCTTACTCAACCGGGAAAAAAAACATATTTGGGAACATCTATTTCATACAACACTTCAAGAGGTACGTATAATGAAAGCATTATCAAGTAAACAAGACAAAAAGAGCAATATGTCATTTCACTTAATAAATCTAAATGCATGCAAAAGGTAGAAAAACATGTAATCATAAAAAAAGTTAAAGCATAATTGTAACATTAAAACTTTACAAAATATATCAAAGTTATTGACCTCAGTTACCAAAACCTAATAAGAAAGCATTCCAGTCATAATTTTCTCATACTCAAACTCATTTAGATTTTTATTATTTGTAATTTTTGTAATAAACTGAAGACCTGGACATAATAAACTGCAGTAAAAGAGATTAATTCTAATAAATACAATTAGTATTAACCAACGGCAGTCAAATCATTACCATGCTGAATGAGACTAACACATCTGAATAGATTTAAATAATTTATCATATAGACAATCCATCAAACTATTCTCTTAATGCAAACCACCTCTTTAGATTAATAAATAATGAATTAAATTGATATAAATCTCAAAATATTCTAAAAATATCTACATTTTTTTTACCATTCTCATCTATACTGAAAAAAGATCAACTCATGTGGTACTTAGAACTTCATATTTCATTCCTAAGTAAAACATTTATATCAATTTCAATTAATAACCTGACATATAACAAACATCCAATACATCCGGGAGTTGCATTTTACTTTCTCAAATATACAAGAGGTACATGAAAATGCAACAATTACTATCCCCATAGAAAATTAAGGCCACAATTTGCTATAGCAGGACCTCAGCAAGAAAGCACCAGATTAAACTCCTTGAACTCAAATTGCAGTTCTCAATCTTATTTAAAAGCAAGACATAACATGACATAACATTAAGTGACATGAAAACCTACAAAATGTACATGTATTTCTGACATTGCCTAAAAAAATTAAACATCAATACTCCCACTTTATTCTAATACTTTAGTCAAACTTCTTAGATATTCTAAACTTTATACACAATGGCACTCACTTTAGAATCTTAATTTTTTTAGATGTGCACCTTAAAACATAATGGTACTTGAGAGCAGAATATTTTTTGTTTCCTCTTTAAGACATGACCATCTATTTATTTTTTCGTTTTCAGAGGGCTTACTTTCCTTTATAATTCATTTACGTGGATAGTTTTAAATCGCTGTTATATTTGTGCATCATAATGAAAAGTCTAATGACTAAGCTAACTCTGTTGACTAAATTCAGCATTCAAATTCTCCCCTTCAGGAGTTCCTAGCAATACTTCAGTGTATGTAGGAGGTAACGTCTGCATTTCTTCGTTCTCATTGATTCCTGGCAACACGTCGACAACAGACTCGTCTTCTGCTCCATTGTAAGAGGAAACATTTGAATTCTCATCCTGAGATGCAGATCCTTCAGAGTCTAGGGCAAACACAACACTTCTCCCAGTGGACACCACTTGATTATTGTTCAATTGTGTCACGTCAGCGGAATTACCCGCCTGTTCTGTGGTTGGGGTAACTGTTGAAAAATGGTCCTCTAGAATAGCATCACTGTATGTGGGTGGAAGAATATTAGCACTTGGTGGAATGGATGGGTCTCTGAAATTGCCAATTTATCATGATAAACTTCTCAAATTATCTAGCAACTAAGGGATATGATTTCAATACAAATATATATCTATAACTTATACAGATTGTTAAAAGCATGACTCTAAGGTCTGTTTTATCTTTTGGATAATATCTTTTGACTTCACTGGCACACAACTATTTGAATTTTAGCTTTGGAGTACCATGCGAGCTGATATTTCTTCACTATAGATAAAAATGGTGAAATGTAGATGCAGAACTACATTAATTAGATCAACTTGAATTTTACTTTTATTATTATTGCAGTTTTATTTCTCTATTAATTAATCAAACCAGCCAACTTTCTGATAAGGGCCTTTTCACTTCATGTGATACACTTTTCCTTTTTTGCACTGTTTTAATCTGTCTTCCGATGTAATCAAACTATGGGATTTTTGGTTGGAACAAAATTTATCTGGTAAACTAGCAATATTGATGACTCTCTCCATAACAGACAAGCTATTAATCTGTCAGCTACTCAAAATGGTTTGAAATGGAAAACAGTATCATCGCACAATGTAAAAAGGGTCTAATGAATACTTGTTACTGTTCATGAATGGGCACTTAAATATAAAAGATTCCTTTAGTTGAGTATAAAATGGTTATTTTATCCTTACCTGGTGGTGGAGTCGGGATCATCATAATCAACTTCATCAAATTCATCAGGTTGTAACTGCATCTGCAATTCACAAACGTAATGACAGAATAAAACTCCTTATAACTATAAGGTTAAAAATCATGTCTCTAGAGTAATACTTTAATCAGTTACATACCTGTATCTGTTTCAGTTAAATTCATACATTAATTCAAATCTAAAGAGATTTATTGCTGATCATTTAAAAGCTAATTTTCTAACCAAAATAAAATACTTAGGAAAAAAATTAGTAAGCTCTATAAAATGTATGCAATAAAAGTTAACTGTCCAAGATTAAGAAGATACACGTGGAATCAAGAATTTCCTCAATTTATAAAAAGAAAGATATATGTTTGACTTTAAAAAATGATGAAATGAAATCAATAAATAAATCATAATTGGTAAGAATGCATTGTGGCAACAAAGTTCAAGCACTAGTTAAAATCCAGGCACAGACCATCACATATAATAAAGACATCTCACAAACAAAAACCTCAATTGAGGAAAGAAACACTGATTAGATTTAGCGATGCATAATTCTAAAAAAAAGACATGCATGCAAAATCAAAATGGACAGAAGCAAAACACATCATACAAGAGTCAAGTGTGTCTTTAAAAGTAAAATAACAAGGAGAAGTAAGAGAGAATATAAACAAAGCCCTTTTTTCAACCTGGACAAGGTTAATTTACCCCTCATCATCTCTCATTACATTACAAAAGCTTGGCTTGGCCTGGAAGCAATATAAGCAAGGATCTACAGACTCACCCTATGCCGTCTATTAGTATATTCTTGTCTTAATCTCTTTGCAATAGTTATATAACCAGCAGCCACAAGGACAAGTAAGAGAGCTATGCCAATAAACAGTGGTCCTGTCAGTTGGACAAACCCTGCTCCAAGCATAGACTGACCTGAAAAATGAAGGGAAATGGGGTTAAAAGTTAACTTTTACTTACTTGAGAATGGTGCTGAGCTTCATAACGTAATCTTTTTGCCAGGGAGTAAAATCTAGCAGCAACAAGAATTATTATCATGGAAAAACCAATAGCTATTGGTCCTATTATAGTGGGTGTGCCTTCTATCAAATTCCAATAACCTGAAAAATAATTTACAACAAAGTTTCACAATAAAGAGCCAGAATCATCAGTTAGCATAACTCAATTTAAACTCAGGACTGTTATTACAAGGAATGTCTAAACTTGTTTAAACATGTCTAAATGTCAGCATTCAAATTTTCATTTAACAAGTGGCACACCTGTAACCCGCTTTGTTTTGGTATATCCTTTCATGTTACATTTTGTGCAGTTATCAATCACTTCTCAAATTATTTTTCTCACACTAGACTAAATTGTACACACAATCTTGCTATTGCAACTTTTGAAACATGAATGCAGTATATAATCTAAACAAATTCAAAACTAAAGAAAACATAAATCAAAAAGTAACAGATATGAAGTCCAACCTAGTCCTGTAAGAATTGCCCCAGTGGCAAATAAGATGATGGCTATGATCAGCAGTATAATTCCTCTCCTGAATGCCTCCTTGCCAGGACCATAAGAATTAGAGTTAAGACATGTACAGTGATGAGCACAGAGACCAGTATTTTGCTCAACTTGGTGAGCCACCCCTGGGATCACCTCCTCCTGGGGGTGTGTCTCAGACCCCCCATGCTCTGCTGAAGAATGGGGTCCCAATGCATCATCGCCTGCACTAGATGTAGAGGAAAGTGTCCTCCTATTTGAGTTATGCCTGTGATGGTGTCGCTGACTTCCACGACTGAATAATCTTTCAAACATTTGACAGAGTGTACTGGTTGCCGAACCTGCAGTTGGAGTAACATCATATGCACCTGAATGCGATCTCACACTTGAATTCATGCCCAATGGCACTTTGCAATCATCATAAATATTGCATCTTTAAAATGTGACTTAAATTACATTGTACTGGCAGCAAATGTGAATGTCCATTGGTATTATTTGACTATGCAGGAAATGTTCCTTTTTCTATACATGTTTTTCTGTCACATATAGTATTCCTTCTGTAAGTGTAAGACTTCTGTCATTTCTTATTCATAATCTAATCCCTTTTTCTTGATGTCTGGAAAAGAGAAGATTTTAACTTTTAAAAAATCAACTTCAGTTTTTAGACTTATATGATAAATTCTGAAAAAAAAAAAAGCAAATTTCATATAAGCAATCAGTTTTACTGGGACCTCCACCTTAATTGTTTTATTAATAATTTCTATATCATTTTTTCATATTTTGTTTTGCCTGTGTGCGTTCTGGAATTTTGATGCTTTTATTACAACTGAAGAATCTTTAATGCTGCTTTAAATGTGGCATACTTTATTAACATAACTGTTGCAAATAACAAAACTTGCTTTATTTTAATTTTAAAGCCTCCAGCTATTGAACTTTCTTGGTCTCAAAAATGTGATGCACTTTTAATGGAATGGACACTGTATCTGAAAGAATTTCAACAAAAGAACTTGAATCTTCCTGTTATAACAAGTTATTCTTGTTTCAACTGCAAAGAAGTACAGGAAGATTTTGTTTTTGTTTTGTTCAAGTTCTTACAAATTCTCACACTTATCTATCAAAAATATGATCTTTGCATTTATGATTTAACCTTATTATAAAAATATTGTTTGAATTACAAAACAATTACTAATAAACAAACAGATAAAAACAACATCATTAACAGAAACAATGATGGCTTATATAGAGATTTAGCCTGAAAATGACAATTAAATTTGCGACCAAAACTGACAAACACCTCTATTATGTATAGATTAAAATTAAGTGGTTGGTTTCTTTCCTATTTAAGTTCCTGTGTGTTGTTTAGAAGAAAATGTAACAGCCTAGATGGGATGTAAAAAAGTGTATATGTCTATCAGAACAAATTTGAAAACTATGCAAGACTTTGAATTTGTTTATCTAACATGGCACACCCTCAAGAGCATGGCAATCCTTGACCTAGAGGATTGCAAAAATCTGATATGGTTCCAGACAAAAAAATGCAAATACATGTACATATAGATCATAAACTATTTTTGATCAGTTTCAAAGAAAGTGACACACGTCTTGTGTAAGGAATAATGCCTATAGTATAATAAACTCTATACATTTAAACGCACACAATAAAGTGTCCTGGCATTCCAACTCTATTTCTAGGACTCAATATTTTATTAAAAATCCACAATCTTTTTATCTTTTTGCCATTTCTATTTTTATGAATCAGTACCTTGAAAGTTGAAGGATAGTATCCCAATCACATGACATCACTAGGTGCATGGCAACAGAGATATTTTGTCATTACATTACTGTATATTATACCACCATGACAGTGGCACAGAAATAATATTCAGCCCATCCCATCATGTCCCGGTTGCTGTGACAAACTTTTAAATCGGGAAGCGGGAATCTTTCAATAAACATACCTATATAATAAGATCAACGTACGGAAATGTTGAGCAAGTAACCTTGAACTTACCAAATGCATTACTAGAGATGGTTTCGCCTTTACATTGATAAATACAATGTTTGTGCTTTACATTAGAAGTACGTGAACACTTTCAACACCCTGCCTTTGACCTTATTTCTACCTTGACCTTAGGCTAAAGTCTTAGACGCGCCTGTAACAATTCAAGTACTTTTCGACAATGGATAACATTTCAAACAATAGCGATTAAATTTTACCCCAACAAAAACACACAATAAATGATACTCATACACAGAAAATTTTATGTTTTAGCGACATAAGATAGTAAAGAAGGTAGTTAAAACCTATTAGAGTGTGATTTTTTACGCGTGTTTTATAATCTCTGTTTACTTCCGCTAAAAGAAAAACATTAACATTGGGATAGATTATTGTATTTGCAGCTGAATCTGAATCTGATTAACATCGCAAGGTAAGAGAGTGACTACGGACGTTAGTCTTTGCTGCTCTAAAAGAGTCAGCAGATTGTTAGCAAACTTTGACCCTGAACATACGTTGTTCTATACACATATGTTTAAAAAAATTGAATTTTATTTTTTGACACTTCAGCATTTAAAATGCACCTCTCTATCTCTCTGTATTGGATTTGGGCGTACAGTATGTACCTGGCGTAAATTTCTGTCTTGACTTGTAGAACTAGTCTTTGGATGGGTAAATATATCAGGTATATGTATTCCTGGTGACAAATCTACGTAGTATGTCATGACATCCCCAAATCATTTTAGAATTATGTGAAAACAATACAGCACGTGTTCATGTCACTCAATTTACGTTTCCATAACTATCCATGTATCAAATTTGAAAAACAATATTGTGTTTTGTGACAGAAAAAAATATCATATATACAATGTTCACTTGATCTCAGCAAGTAAAGTTTGCATTTGGAAAACAATGTGAAATTAATAATAAGTGTCCAATAATGTGTTGCTGTCCAATAGGATTTTAAACCACACAATTTAGACATGGTCACTGTTGTGCTAGAATACGAATATATATCGTATATAATATATGATTTATTATTAGATGATATGTTCCTTTTCAGATGGGCTGCGTCTAACAAGTCCATGTACTTCAGTGCAGATAATTAGTTTTAAGAGAGGAGTCCACCTGCAACTGACCCTCACAAGTTAGCCCATTAGTTAGCCATGGCGGGCCTCCCACCATCAGATCTACAACTTGTAGATTCTACCCTGGACCCCACTGCTGGGGAATTTTCAGCAATGGACACCTCGTCATTTCCAGAACTTAGCACCTCTTCCTGTTCGTCCTACACCTTGAGTCCAGAAGGAACATACTGTTATGGAAATGAACGCAAGGCGTTGGCTGACCAAACTAGGTTTTTCAACAGTGAAATCTTGAGCGATGTCATTTTGAAAGTAAGTTTGGTAAATACACTGTAGATGTGTGTGTTTGCCAACTCTGATTTTTTTATGAGTTCTTTTTGTTTTGGGGGGGTTTACCTTTGTAAAGACAGGATGATTAACAGTAGAGCTGTGCATTCTTAGGGTTATAGTATTGGTCTAATCAAATTTTGTTGACTTATACTTCCTAATACGTAAATAGTTATTACAACAAATAAATAAAGACTCATTTAGATATTTTTTGTTTTTAATTTAGGTCGGAGAGCAAACCTTTTATGCCCACAAACTGATACTGATCAAAACCAGTGATGTCTTTGAGAGGATGTTTAGCTCAGGTTGGAGTGAAGCAAATTCAGAGGTATGATAATTGATAAAACAAAAAATAATCAAAGTACCAGGTTCTCATATAAAAAATCAATGATCAAATTCTCACACTTAACCACCAATAATGGGACTTTCTTTTGCTTGAGAATAAATGAGAATAAAACTTCTAAGATGATAGGATTGTTAATTTGTTATGGTGATGGGGTAATTTTAATGAATTGAAATTTACTTTTAGCAGTGCATTTAAAATATTTTCAGTGTGTTGAACTGGTAGAAGAAGGGCCCTGTATCGAATATTTTGCAAGATTCCTGAAATTCCTTTATGGTTGCCAGATTATCCTCAGCAAGGACAGCTGTTTACCCGTCTTGGTCTTAGCAGACAAGTACAATGTCGCAGATCTGAAAAATGTGTGCGTAAGTTTTGCATGCAGCAGCATAATCCCCAAGTTGCAACTGAAACAAGTTTTCCATACCTGGTTTCAGTATGCTACAAAATGTGACCACAAGCAGCTGGTGTCTGCTTGTATTTTGGCTTTGTCAGAGGAGATGAGTGAAATCATGTTGTCCGGGGAATGGCAACGTGAATGGGAGGAATTGGACAAAAACCAATTAATTGAAATTCTGAAAAGCTCAGATCTCTGTGTTACGGATGAGTATGAGGTGTGGCAAGCAGTTCTCGCCTGGGTGAAAAGTCCTCAAAAGTTAGAAAGAAGAGAGAACTATCTGAAGGAGATTTTACAGTATGTTAGATTCCCAATGATGACCCCTGACCAGTTGTACTCTATTGAAAAACATGTAATAGCAGAAACTTATGGTGAACTGTTTCAAGAAAAGTTCATTGAGGCATACAGATACCATGCTCTTTCTATCAGCAAAAGAGCAGATATCAAGCTGTTCACCAATTCCAACTATTTACTTCGAAATTACACCTCTCTGCGTTGGGATAAGAGGCTAAAACTACAAAATTATGGATCTTGCCCAAAATTTTCTGAGCACAGTTTGAAGTTTTCCACTAGAAGTTCGTCATTTCCGACACAGACCTGGGATTGGGAGTTGAGAGTCTATCCAAAAGGATTCTCTCAAACAAGTGATGACTTTCGCTGTCTTCTGTACTCCAACTTGTTACTTGATCAGCCCAGACCTGTGGAGTTCATGGTCTCAGTTGTTAACAATACTCAGATTCTGTGCACAGTTACCGGAAAGAAGAATTTCTCTAAGAACAGATACACTGTAGATACTGAAATTGATAAACAGATATCTGTGTTTGATTTAGAATCTGGCAATTCCCCTTATTTAATGGACGGATCTCTAGTATTTCAGGTTACTTTGCAACCGGTTATGTGATTAGGCAGAGGTCAGTGCAATATTCAGGACAATAAAGTTGGAAATGAAATTTCAAATTACAAGTCACGGAAATTATTGACAAAAAGATCAGAGGGAAGCAATAAATGATTCCAACCAAGATGTTAAATACCAAAATCTCTCAGGCTTTGGTTTTCATCCATTGCAGCTGCATTATTTGTTTGTTAACAGTGCAACTAAACTGAGCATTAATCAATAAACAAAGATGATTCTGATATCATTTATTTAAATAAAAATTGTAAATACTCCAATATGTATAATGAAATGATGAAAAGTTGCTTTATGAATAAATTAAACTACTTTTGTCCATTGTGAAATGTTTTAACGAAGTTATCCTACTGAAGGTTATTTATTACCTGCATACCCATGCAGTTTTCAGTTGGTCTTGGAATCCACATAATGACTGAGTCAGCTGAATCTCTTAAACCTAGGTCCCAACTACGTTTTGGACGCACGGTTTTTAGGTTCCTTGCGTCCGTCTAGGACGTACATGTAGCTAGATCGCAGGGAAGGAATCAAGTAAAGCCTAGGTCCCAACCGAACGTACGGGCTGCTACGNAACCTTTCTGCCCATTTTAATATCCTATTGTTCATAATTTTGGTGAATATTTTGCTACATACAATCAATAAGGATATACCTCTATAGTTGTCCATATTATCTTGAGGACCCTGCTTATGAACAGCACAGAGAACTGCCTCCGCCCACCTCTTTGGGTATACACCTAGGTCCAAAATGCTGTTGAATAGTATAATCAGATATGGTATGATAATATGGAGCGAGTTCTTATAGAACTCTACGCTAATACCATCGGCCCCAGGCGCCTTTTTGTTTTTCATTTCTTTTACTGCCTTTGTGACTTCTTCCACTTCAATGGGGTTGTTGAGTTCTTGAGGGTCATCATTGGCACAGTGCTCACAATAGTTGTCGTGCTCTTCAAGGTCTTGATGCACCTCTTTTGATATTGAGCTTTCTGTCGCTTGTGGATTATAAAGTTGTTTAAAATATTCAAACCACTGGTCACTAGTTATGGCATTAGACGACGAACACTTTTTCCCTTTGATTAACTTCCAGCATTTAAATGAGTCATGTTTTGACTTTTCAATGTTTTGCTGCTGCATCATTTTCCACTTATTATGCGTTTTACGACATAGCTCTCTATATGAATTTTTTGCTTTTCGGTAGCTTTCTAGATCTGTGTCATCATTAGTACGTCTGAATTTTCTCAATAACGAATTCTTATAACGCTTTGCACACCTGCATTTATTATCAAACCAACCATTATGTAATGGCCTGCGCACCTGGTAGGTCATTTTCATGTCCCCTGCTGCTCTTTGCATGACGTTCTCCATAATCTCCACTGCATCATCAATGTTTTCGTGGACACATTCCTCGAATTCATTAAGCATGGCCATTGACACATCATCGCTTAGTTTTCCAAGGAACCCATCTTTTCCTTCCTCACTCCAGGCAAACTTTGAGTAGGGTGTCAGGTTTACTGTGGTACTTGCATAAGTGTTTACATTCTCATTTTTACAGTTCAACACACATTCTAGGGGAAAATGATCCGACAGATCTATGTCCATAACCTTGAGGTGTGTGACTTTGTCATATAGTCCCGTGTCCGTAATAACATAGTCTACTGTACTGTGACCATTATTGGCTAAGCACGTATATTCTCCATTCACATCTCCATGTTTTCTTCCATTTAATATATGAATGTCCATGCTACAGCAAAGTTCGACCAGGTCCTGGCCATATTTATTGTACTCTAAATCTTTATTTTTCCGGGGAATAGAAAAGTTGTCACTTTCATACCAATCAGCTACATGTTCCGCTCCATCAATTTCAATAAAGTCATTTAACGTTCCAGTTCTTGCATTCATATCTCCTACTAACATAAAATATGCGTCCTCGTATGCTGCTTTCATTTCGAGCAACCATTCACCTAGCATCTCCATTCCATTTCCATGATTTTGCTCATAAATACTTGACCCTAGAGGTGAAACATACACAGCACTAAGCACAATATTTTTGTCAAGCCCTGTAACCTGCTTGTCTAATAGTAGGGATACAGTGTCTAATTTAGAGTTTTTGATTTCTTTTAAACCATTTACTAGACGCTCTTTAACATATACTAATATTCCACCATGCTTATTTACCTCTCTACAATAAGCGTAACATGTATACCCTGACAGCCAGTCTTTCCATTCCGATATATCATAAACCCATGTTTCAACCAATACTATAATGTCGTACTCTCTCAAAGATAGTTTTAATTCATTATTATTTTTGTGCCTTCTCATTCCATGCACGTTCCAGTAAAATACCCTTAACGATTCATATACTGTCCTCCAATTTTGCTCCTGGCCTTGACCGCACCCCTAGCGGCGGGGTTGGAAAAAGATAGGGTTCCAACAATCGATAACCACTCCGTCTCTGTGTAATTCCCTTCTTCCGTAGTCAATCTCAATATTCCGTCCAGCATTTTCTGGCTTCTGTTTCTCCGTTAGTTCCACCTCTTTGAGCCTCTTCCATTCACTGCGAACTGCAGGGTGAAGATCCTTTTTGATGAATACGTTTTTGTATACATTTCCAGCTTCTTTCAGGCGTCTTGCATTGCTTAATACTTCGTTTCTCTCCTCCTTGGTGCTTAGGTGGACTAATGTAGGTCGCTTTTTGTCCGGCGCAACTTTTCCTAGACGCATAATTTGTACTGGCTGTATATTTTCCGCACCCACTTTTGACAGAATTTTTCCGCATTTCTCCTCATCTGTTTTTGCACCCTCCATCATCTCACTGTTTTCTGGTAGACCAAGAATGATAATATTGTGATCTCTTTCTTTATTAAGCATCTGTTCCATCAGCCGTTGCTGCTGCATGACCATCTCCCGCAGGCGGTCATGGTCCTGCCTCAGTTGTCGTATCTCTCTCCTGTCTTCTCTCATAGCTTTTAGCTCATTTAATATGAGCTTTAGAGTGCCGCGTATCCCCCCTTCTGTGGAATCATCATTACTGTCGTTTGCCATCTCTAGTTCTGTTTCTGTATCATCGTAAGCTTTCAGCTCTGCAACAGATAATTTAAGCGCTTCCCTAAGCTCTCCTACTTTCATTTTTGCGATTTCGTTTTGTGAGGGCCGTCTTTTTGGTGCGCCACCTGTAGCCATTTTCTAAGTTTCTAAGTTTAGAGTCCCAGGCAAAGAGTCAGTGGTCTGTTCAAACGCGAAAACTGCTCACTAACACCTGAGTTCTGGTTTACGTAACAGGCGAGTAGTGGTCAGCGGTGCAGAAAATGCTGATGTTGGTATAAATATGTCCATCAAATGCAATCTAAACATCACTATTTTTTCCTTCTTGCAAAATATATGCGACTGTTCGTTTAAAATAGTCAATATTCAGTTTCAGTATCATTGCTCCACCATAACCATACAAAATCTTAAGTTTTCATGGAGCTTGGCATAAACTTGTTACCTGCAGATCTGTGACCTTGACCTCAAAAAAAAAAAAAAAAAAAAAAAAAAAAAAAAAAAAAAAAAAAAAAAAAAAAAAAAAACGGT